GGTATCGCTCGCTATGCATGACATAATCGCTAGATAGATCCGGCGCAGTGTGCCAAGCGGGCGGTCGTCGTTGTTTTGTTGGCACAGAATCAAAGGGTTATAAGGTGAATGTGTCGGGTCCACGCATGAAGCTCGCCGTGTTTATTTTGACAAGTTCTACATCCAAAAATATTGTAACGTGAAAACTCTTACCGTATTAGTATCGGATGATACGTTTTTATTGATAAACTATACACAATACACGACTGGAAGTGAACTAAAAAAATATGAAGTTTCAGATGTTAACTATTCCGTACAGATAAGAAAAGACTTATTTACGACAAAATTTCGGAAACTGTTGTAAGTGATGGTATGAACAATGCTCACTATTGTTTCCGATAAAATATGAGCATAAACCCAACTAATGACAAATATGTAAGACTATCTGTCGTCGATATCACTGGGCTAGCTTGGTGGGTCATCGATAGTTCTTCCCAATGCTTCTATATGGATAGTCTATGCCTTATAATAGGGACACTAGTAGGCTGACGAAGATAATTACCAAATCTGACTCCGTGAATGAGATCTATAATAAAGTATAATTATTATCTGACTGAAAGTGTCACATTTTTTATATGCTGGCGACCCGCGTAAGCAAGAGATATAAGGCGTGATATGTATATGAAACCAAAAAGAAAATGACAGGTGGTGATATTTCGGGACCGAAATATCATCCCAATTTTCCAAAAACATTATTTTATCCGTACCTTATCCTGACAACAAATAACGGAACCAAAAATGATGATGAATTTCGACGGCGGGTTCGAAGCGTCGATGGCAACCGCAACGCTTTTTTGATTTTGATGTTGTGATCGCTGATTATTTACTTTTCCCTTTACCTTGTTTGGTGGCTTTCTTCAATAAAACAATTTCGTGAACTTTAAACTGATATAATGATCAAATTACAATGATATGACAATTTTACTAGCACAAGCACATTATTCTATACGCCATATTTTTGTGAAGTTCATTTATAATTACATTAACCAATAAGGGGTCTCTGTTGAAGATACAGATTAAAGAAGTGTGACCACTAAATTACAATAATAATAGGTGGTGGGAGATTTAAAAATGAAAATTATGTACATTACTAAAACATGTTGATTTTGCGTCAACAACTACTACAAAACGGCTTGACCTATTCTTGAAATGTTGTATATAATTCAGTAGGTCTGAGAATAGGACGTATACTATTTATTTTTCATAGCCCTAAGTGATAGATCCACCGCAAAAATTTATTGTACTACCACAAAAGTCCTATTTTCATAGCGGTATGAAGTTCGCTGGGTCAACTAGTACTAGTATATAATAAAATAAAATTCATTTAGTTCCTTAAGAGACCGAAATCAATTTATCCTAAAAGAATTTTTCCCGTCCCGAAGCTACTTATTTTCAACAAAGGCGCAGATTTCGTCAGAACTCTTTAATTTTGTTTGTGAATAAAATTCGGTTAGTTTCATAACGTAGAAAGATAATGTGTTTACCTCACCGATCTCATGGAGTGTATGTGAATAAACTCCAAGATAAGTATGTACTTTGAAGGCAAAATAGCTAACAATATTTAATCCGAGATCTTTTCCATAAAATCTTTCTACCCATTAGAAAGATTTTATGGAACAGATCTCGGACTTAGGTATAGTATAACATACTTTTGCATATGTTATAGAAAAACGCAAATATGGGAAAGGTTGTTGTTAGGATTGTTGATAAAAACCAGAGCAGTATTAATAAACTACAAAGGTGCCTATGTTGTTTATTATTCTGCTCTAGTTTTCATCAATAAACCCTACCTTTCCAATATTTGCGAATTGTGTTAGTATTTTTTTTATAAATCAACCAGCTGTCCCAGCGAACTTCATACCGCCATAAAAAATAGGGGTTGATGGTAGAAGGATGAAAATTTAGGGTTGTATGTATTTGTACGGTGTATCATAAAAAAATAAAAACAAAAAAAATGTCAAAAAAAATATATTAAGGGTGGACCACCCTTAACATTTAAGGGGATGAAAAAAAAGATGTTGTCCGATTCTCGGACCTACTGAATATGCATATAAATTTTCACGAAAATCGGTTGAGCCGTTTTGGAGTACATAGTTCAATTACGCACACCGTGACACGAGAATTTTATATATTAGATATTTCAAAAGAAAACCTAGGATAAAAAAAGGTTACAAAAGAAATTAAATTAAAAACAAAAATGGGTGCGTGTACTTATGTAGGCGCGTGAGAAGTTATCCTTCTTTGGCATCGTTTAAAATTACTTTTTAATAGCATGCAAATAATTAATTACAATAAATTAATAAAAAGTCTGGAAAAGGACACAGTCAATAAAGTTCAGTTTTAATTTGAAAAAATAAATAAATAATCAAAATATTCAATTAAAATCGCTACTGAATATAATTTATTAGAACATATGTGATTTGCACTTGTATGAAACTCAAACATGTATTCCGAATATACAAACTAGAAACATGTGAATAAATATTATAAATATGAATACCTGTAACTGTTACTTTATTACAAAAAATAAAGAAGTGGTTTTTGGCTCTACTACACCAATGGTCAAGAGATGGCGCTGTAGTCTCCTGAATCGCACTTTGGTTCCGTTGTTCCAGATTAATAAATACTTTTGATAGGCCATCACAATGCAGTCGTTAGCACCCACTAAATAGAGATTCTATTTCTATTTTGTTAGTAGATTTTCTTAATGTGCGGTAAACACAAAAGTAACGCATGAAGTTGGTCGCTAAAGCGACCAACTTCATGCTGTTAAAATTTTGTGTTACAGTGATGCGCGCGCATCTTAAAATTTCACTCTCATAATTTTTTCATAACGCGTCTAAAGAAGTATAACTTCAATAGTAGTAAATTAATATAAGTTTCGTTATTTGAATGTTGAAATAGCAACAAGTTTATAATTATCTTATATATAAAATTCTCGTGTCACAATGTTAGTTACCATACTCCTCCGAAACGGCCTGACCAATTTTTATGAAATTTTATATGCATATTCCGTGTGTCTGAGAATCGGCTACTATCTATTTTTCATATCCTTAAGTGATAATGGTTGTCCACCTGTAACGTAGTGTTCTGATACCTACAATGCGCCTTTGCGCCAAAATTCAAACTATTGGGTATTGTAACGTAGTGTTCTTATATGGGTTAGGAGGAATGTTATCCCAGGAAATTGATAGAACACTACATTACACACCCTAAAAAATTTTTGGACACTATTTATTTTTTATCGTGTGGTATTTAAAAATCCATCCAACCCTAAATTTTCTCTATTTTTATGGCGGTACGAAGTTCGCTGGGTCAGCTAGTAGAAATATATATAGAGCTAACTTTAATACTAGATGGCGATGATATTTCTAGCGCATTCTGATTTTATATGGAACATTCTCAATACATATAAATCTGATGTTTCTTGTATAAACCAATATAAATTGTGCTTGATTGTATAACAGTTTCAGTTGTTATTACTATATAAAAGTTATTTTATTTTACTTTGCAAGTTAGCGCCATCTAGCGTAAGAACTCGCGCGTCGTCTTATTTAATAGTACTGGACTACTGGTAATCTGGTACCTGTTGGATTTTAAATACCAAGAAACATCAAGTAAGCTGAAAATGAACTCAACTTTGTGTGGACTCATAATTTAGTAGGTATCCTGTGCTAGGTGCCTAGTTCTTTTGCATAAACAAAACATTCATTACTTTTAATAACTATATCATTGTTCAAGGATGCCAAAAACGAATGTAGAATATTGTAGTGTTAAATAACCGAAAAAAAAACAATAATAATACAATACAATACCATTGCTGTTTTATATTACTTATTTTTTACGATTTATTGTGTATAAGAAATGTGGGTTAGTAAAAATATATTTATTTCTTTCTAATATTGTTTAGATAATGGTACAAAACCCGTGCGCGAGTCTAACTCGCACTTAGCTAGTTTTGAAGGTTTCACTTCTATCGCATGAGCACAGCATAATTATGTCCGTTTTTTTTCAGGTAGTGGTAATAGTATTCTGATTTTTAAGAGAAGTTAGCAAAACCTTTTTTGGAACGAAGTTCCTTTTCCCAGTGTACGGTTTGGTGGGGTATATTATTATATAAATATTTTTAAGCTACACAACATTCACGCATTTTTTGTTTAAGTAACTTATAAAGGCACTTTAATCAGGTTTCACCGGAATAACAACATCTCGCGTAACGTGAACCGCAGTTCTGTAAATATCCTAATTGTTGGTGTAGGTTAAAAAACATAATGAAAACAATCCTCTTTAGTGTATTATTGAAAAACGAGTCGGGTTCAAGGTGCGGAACAAAGCGCTCATTTGGGGGCAAACAATAGAGTTTGTATCAGACGAGCAAAGAAGCAACAGAGGCAAAGTTCATGCAGCCGCGCGTGCGTGAATGCGCACTGGCGGTTGTCGCCACCAATAGAAACATTTTTCTGCGTACACGACAGGCCGCCAGGGGCCTAAGCAAAATCTTTAAATCAAAGTTTCTATGAAAACTAAGCAGCTATCGGACGTAAGAATAATCTACCCTTTTCTATACAAAATTTGACGATGAAGATACGATTCTGGAGCTGTCAAAATTCGCGCTTGAGTCGCAGTACTCACTTACACCGGCATACCCACCTACTGTGACAATGAATCCTACAGAAACAAAATAACGTAACGTCGAAATTAGCTAGGTCAAATTTCAATTGACGGTTGACAGAGGTCAGTGTCAAAATAACAGCTGCCAATTCCAAAACTGAACCTAGCAAATATGGACATTACAGTGTTTATTTATGACAGTGACATTTGTCATTTTGACAATGATATCTGTCAATTGTCAATTTTAATTTTAACCTAGCAAATTTCGACGTTACATCACACATGCGCAGTTGTATAAAGCTTTGTCTCTGTGTCTTCTACTCGTGTGTTTGTATGTCGTGTGTACTCACGTTTTGGGGGGCTGAGCGGCGCCGGCGCGGGCGCAGTTGGCGACCTCGCGGGCGGTTTGCCGGTCAACGCATCGCACGTCACCGCATCCGCTGGAACAGAAACGTTATATTATTACCTGTACATATTTTTTTTATACGAGGGGTAACAAATTACCCTATACCACTTAAGGCTAAGTTGTTAAGTGTAAGTAGAGTCCAGTAGCGAAGATACGCGATGCGCCATAAGGTGTGACGTTCAGCCATCTTTGCCGGTTTGAACCCAATCCCCTACCGCGGAGCCCTGGAACCCTACTTACCAGCAGAAACACAATACCATAAAAAAATAGTGATATTTTGCTCTAGTCTTCTGTAAGGTGGAGGTTGCTTCCCCAAACGGCACGCTCCAATTCGAACAGAAAAACCTGCATTGTATCACATTCCAATGGTCATGCTTGCGAAGCAAACGATCTTATTCAACAAATACAGCACTATAAAATAATGTTTAGACTCCAGATTTTTGTTTTACACATTATAGATAATTTTGTTACCTATGATGTACAAAATAACCTAGCGCAGCTTAAAATATTTAAAGTTGCATGACAGCGATATTTATATTTCATACTCTTCAAAATTATATAACAGAGGAAAATCTAGTAACAACGGTTATGCAAGATTGGGTGTTCATAAACAGAGTTAATGTTATTTGAGCACAATGTCTAGACAGGAGCCAATTTTTTAAATCAAATGTTGCCAAAAGCGACGGAAATAACAATGTTTACCAGTAAAGAGTCCTTTAGCCATTAACAAGACACAATATTACAATCTGCACACGAAAAGGGTAATATCCAGTTTCACTAAAAATTTTAATAGAGAATGCAAATTTAAAGAAATAACAACCCAGTTTGCTTTTTTATTCAATTTGGCTTTAAACATAGTTTAGACTAAAATAGAGGAACTAATTTAACAGATCAGCCCTCATTTAGGTACTTATCAAACTATTAGCTAACTTTTAATGTCAGAGAAACGCATGATTCTTAAAATTCGTAAGGAGTTACCCGAGAAATTACATATTTTAAATATAAACCCTAGCGCCAAATCAATGAGACTTCTTATGTGAAAACCAATCTACATAAAAAGAGCTTTAGTATAAAGGTACTGTCACTCAGTGGTTTGTGTAATTGCTATCATTGTCTCAAAATTTATTGGTCGACTTATAGCAAAACTCTAAATGCGTCAAAGTTACCATGAATCTGTTTTCATAAAATCAGAATGTAAAGAAAGTGAATGGGTGATATAAAGTCGGATTTTTACAAACAATAAATATTCGGGAGCCGTGGATTCCTCGTGTCGCGCACTTTGTTTATATTTGCGAGACATCTCCGTCCGCGCAACTCACAATATTAATGCGTCGTTCAACTCTACTCGGAAAAAGATTTTGCGAATATTTTTGTTCATTCCTTGCACGTCAGGTCATATGGCTGACACAATAAACAACAGTCGACAGATAGTTTTATACGCGACATATGAAAATTCACTTTCACCGAAAGAAAATAGGTAGTTACCAAAGATTTTTTGGTACTTACAAGGTTTCTTATAGGGATAGCTTTCTATATCCGAACATGGAAACTATGCCATTTCCGTTTTCTTCATACCTACAGCCTAAAATCTTTTGACATTTCTTAAAGAAGATGACAGTAAAATAACACCTTTGGTGGTGTTGAGTTTATGTCAGTGAATAAGGTCCCAGGACTCCACGAGCCAGTGTATTGTTTGCTATTGCAAGCATCTAATGGCTTTGGTGCCGATTATCATCAGGCGGACCACACGCTTGTTTGCCACCCTTATAACATAAAAAAGGCAAATCATGAAAAGGGTTCACATTACAAAACGCTGTAAATTAAAATAAACACTCACCACAACTCGGTGCTACGAAAATTGATACGACTGCAAAATATCATTGGAGAAAACAATCGAATCGAGCTTCCTGCTCTAGTTACGTGTAATGACGTCGCTCGCGAATTTAGAAATTTCAAGATAAGTCTATAATTAAATAAATAAATTGTAATCGGTTTATTTTTGTAAGTAATACTGAGACTCTAAGCGAACTATCAAGAGGACTAGCGCACAGTGACGACGCACCGGGAAGTGAGCAAGAGACAGGATTTGGCAAAGCTTTGTCATCTAGTAACCTACATTCGTTAGTGGCTAATAAATAAATACTAGCTGAGGATAATGAACTCGAAACACCAGTCGCAAACACTAAGAGAATATTTTTTATAGGAAACAGATTGGTAATTGTTAGAAAGATTAGTTTACGAAAGAAAATAATCATAATTTAGGCAGATATTTTTTTTATTTCAATGTTCTATTATAGCCTAAATACATATAATGCGCAAATGAATTGTTTATTATGATGAAGCAAGATGGTGAGCACGGTCTAACAGTTTGTATGATTATTAAGATGCTCACAAGAAATTTAATCATAAATAATTTGATCACGTACGTAAGTAAATTTACATTAAATAATTTACCTATATATATATATATATATATATATATATATATATATATATATATATATATATATATATATATATATATTTACGTATGTGTACTCAACACCACATTTCAGTTCAGAGAGTCTTCGAAAGCATACAACATTAACAACATCTATTTTCTGTTTAAACTCGATAAAAGTTGAGTGTTGTTCTTCTAGAAATAAATACACATCTAAGCGAATCGCTTCGTAAGAGGCTTTTAACTTCTATACTGAAAAGTTCTAACTAGATTTGTTAGTCAGCCAGCGTATACAGCCGCTTCTTTCTAGTAATTCTAATGGCCAACTACTTACTTCGTATTTTTCCTTAAAGTTTTTATAGTAAAGAAGACCATAGAAGAATGTTTTTTTTTTGCAACAAGCATTCGTATTTAGCAAAAACAACATGCTCCTTAAGTACTGCTGTAACATAAATTGTTTGTATGATACAAACATTTTCTTTGTTTCAATATTTAATTTCGCTTTCCTTTCCTCTATATTTGTTTTATAAAAGTAAGCTCGAAAAGCTTTCTTGAGTGTTCATGTTTTTTTGTTGCTTGATATTTTCTGCTCGCTATAAATGCTTAACAATGGTTAATCGTTCAATTCAAATTTACGTAAGATCAATCGATCTCTTAATTAAAACGAACTCAACGTAACAAGCCAAAGGAAATTTTGACGTAAGTCAACAATTTGATGAAATCACAAGGGTTCTCTGAACAACGATAAATTTATTTTCAAGTGGGTGGAACTGGATCGTTTGTAAGGCGATATTCGTGCTAGATGAAGTTAAACGAAGTCGAATAAATAAGTTGGTATTAAGTCATTACTTTTCAGGTAATTAATATTGTTTTAGGTAAAAAGGGTTTGTAAACAATATTGCCCTCCTGATGGTAAATCGCAATATCTGATGCAATTTTGGAGTAAGTTTAAGTACTCGCGCTTTCCATATATATAATACTCTGACTCCATCCCCTACGAAATGAAACCATGAAAATCTTATTTCCTAAACACAAAACCACAAAAGGTACTTTTATTTTCAGTACGGAATAGATTAGCTACCTCCTCAGAGAGACACTATCTCGTACAATTATTTGATTGCGTTACATTAGTCAAAAGCAACACTTTAAACAAACCACAACAAATATTATAGGGCTTACATTTCAAAAGGTGACATTTATTTATTTTTATTTCAAATATTTAGCAAATCCATACTATGTTAGGAAAATTATTATAAACCTATTAAAATTTATTGGGTTCCATATGTTCTCAAACTTTCAAGTAGTAAGTATTGATACAGTATTACAAATCTATGTAAATATTTGTTTGTCGACATCCCAAAGCGTAGGCATATTTTATTCAATCTATGAATAAAGTCGTGAAGGACTTCCGGTGAAATTCTATTTCGATAAATACTGATAAAACCCACTTAAATCAACTTTGTTGTGCTACAAAATTGAAAATTAACGAGAACCTACGATTTAAGCATAAGTACAAAATTTTAGAACCAATAAAGGACGGCCCCTTCTTATTAATTTTAATTTCCTTTTCCAAATCTGATATTAAAAATAGCTTTATGATTCCAGCTGTAATAAATACAGTAAAAACAATCTGTTGGACTTGAAGTGCATATTATAACCAATAGGGATGATGACGAGGTAAAGTAAACGAAATTATATTTAGTTAGATTATCAAAAAATAATGGCCACTTATTTTTTCTTTTGCCAATCAACCAAAAAATGACAAAAATAAAGCTCGTCAAAGCTTGGGACTGGGGGCTTTTGATGTCACTTCTAAGTAAAAACTGCAAGACGTGACGTCATACGATATTTCAAATCATTATATGCCTGTAATGTTTTGATTATGTGAAAAAAGAAAACATACGTGTCCAATACTTTTTGATAATCTACCTGAGACGTAGAAAAAAAAATGTCAGTTTAAAATAAATAGTGGAGTTGACTATATTTGGTTCATGTTAGTTTTTGCTACACGCATGAAGTGTTCTCAAATAAACACATACCTGCCTAATGTCCTTATAGTGCAACAAGTTTAAAAAAAACAATAACGAACTTCACGTGTTAAAGATCATTGACGGGTCAGCCGGTAACTGCGAGCGGGTCGGAGTGACCACGGCACCACGCGGTCGAAGGGCGACTGTGATGGGGCGACACCCACGGTGGACACTCTCTGTATGTTAATCACAATGAAAATGATCACAGAACGATTGCGACACGTTGGGCAAACACAAAACGTATCAAACGGAATTGCCGGATTTTCGGAAATACCATAATCCTCGCGGTATTGTTCATCAAACTGACGAATCGCGGTTGTAGTTTTGTAATCGTTTGATACACAAGAATATTTTCTTAGAATCAATTGTCTGTTACTGTCCGATTGATATTAAAAGTTAAGATAAAATGTCAGATGCGAAAATAAGAGCGAAAGCAAAATGTTGGATACGCCAAATCTACGAAAATAAGGGTTTTTCTGTCACTACTGTAGTTAAGCAGTAGGACCCAACTACCTTAAAATGAATATACCCGTTAATGTTATTATTACTGCCAATAATACTAAA